GACAAGTAACTACTAACAGGACACACACCCTTAATCACTTTAGAATCTATTATCCAAGATTAGAATCTATGCATTTAACCAATTGGTAGTTGAATCTCATAACACACTAAATGATTTGTAATATATTACACTGAACTCCTTTACCTAATTCAGCTGTTGGACACCACCAATAGCCAGAATATCTATCAAATTCTTCTTGAAGAACAAAGGTAGCAACTCCGGCTGATCTGGGATCCTCTTCCATGTTGGCTAGCTCTAGACACACATAAAAGGAACATTAAGACAGAAAGCTCTCTATCTTTTCACAGGTACAAAGCAGAAGTCTATTAAAAAAAAATTATAGTATTTTCTATAAAAAATGTAAGTGCTATTTACATAATAGAGTCCAGCTGTTTGGAATAGTTTCTCTATTGATGTTAAAGTCTTGTTCTAACAAATACAAGTACAGCAAAACTTTTTTAGTTTATTTTGAGGCAGCTGTAGTATAATGGTGGACTGTGGGGCCAGAAGGACTGAGTTCAAATCTGAACTCCACCATTTACCGACTGTCTGACCTTGGGACAATCACTCAGTCTCACTCTACTGCAGTATCCTATTTGTAAATGGGGATAATTGCCAACCTTGTAAGGTTACTATGAGGATTAAATGAATTAATTCACATAAAGCACTTAGAACAAAGCCTAGGTCACAGTACGCGCTCCATAAATGTTATTATTTTCCCATTGACTAGAATCATGGAAACAAAGAATGTATGTAAAGGGTCATGGTGACTTATAATTCTCTGATACAGAGAAGTAAATCTTTAGACCTGGAACAGATCTCATAGATCATGTAATTCATCCACTCTTCCTCCCTCCCAATTCAACCACAGCAGTTCAGCTTCTTATCTGCTTCTACACTTAGATTTCCAGCAAATAATTTGAAGGGAACTGCTTTCAAAAAAAAATCACAAAGCCACAATCACAGAAGATTTTGTGACACAGGGAAATGTTTACAATACTTAAATGAAAAAAATGCACATTACTAAATGGTATATACCCTGTGATGCCACTTACAAAAATACTATACATAGGTATTTTTGAAAAAGTGTTGGCATATAAACCAAGATGTTATCAGTGCTCATCTCCAGGCAGTGGGATTATAGGCAAGGTTTTTTGTTTTTTCAACTGCTGTATAATGTACAAATCTTAATTTGCCAAATGCACATACTTTTGTAATCACATTCCTATCAAGACAGAACATTTCCAACACCCTAGAATGTTTTCTCATGCCCCTTCCCAGTCAATGTCCACTGCCACAGAAGCACTCATCTGATTTACCACCATAGGTTAGTTCTGCATATTCTAGAATTTCACATAAATGAAATCACAGAATATATATTTTGTCTCTGGCTTATTTTTTAAATAATATTTGTATTGAGTTTTCGGTGAAAGTTTGCACAGTATGTAGGTTCACTTTGAACAATTATTACACATATTGTTCAGAGATGTCTGGCTTATTTTTGAGATTGTTACATGCATCAGTAGTTCATTCCTGTTTATTATGAAGTATTATTCCATTGTATGAGTATACCACGTTCTTTTATCCATTCTCTTGTTAATGAGGAGCTGGGCTGCTTCCAGTTTTTGGCTATTATCAGTAAAGATGCCATGAGCATTCACATAAAAGGATTTTTGTAGACATATATTTTCATGGCTCTTGAATAAATACCTAGGAGTGGAAAGGCTGGGTAGTGTGGTAAGTGTATGTTCAACTTTATGAGAAACTGCCAGTTTCCCAAAGTGGTTGTATTTTATATTCCTACCAGCAATGTGTGAAAGTTCCTCTCTAACAATTGATGGACTCAATCTTTTTCATTTTAGCCAGTCTGGTGGGTGTGTAAACCCACTGCTGTTGAGTTGATTCTGCTAACCAATTCAGCTGGTGGACTTGAACTGCTGAATTGGTTAGTAGGCCTGGTGGTGCCATGGTTAAGAGCTACTGCTGCAAACCAAAACGTCAGCAGTTCGAATCCATCAGCTGCCCCTGGGAAACCCTATAGGGCAGTTCTACTCTGTCCTACAGGGTCGCTGTGAGTCACAATTGACTTGACGGCAACGAGTTTGGTTTGGTTTTAATGTGTGTGTAGTAGTGATTTTAATTTTACATGCAAGTTTCAATTTACTATTTTTGATTATCTGTATTTTCTATGTTGTATGAAATAAACGTACAGTAGAAACCAATAATCACTTGCCCAAAAAGCTTGAGTCCATAAGTGTTTAGAATTCAGAGTTTTGAGAATTTTACATATATTGTACATCTACCATATATTAGGTAACATCTCCAGCAGGGTAATCAAAGAACACCAGTATTCCTGCAGCAAATTTATGAATAGGCATACTAAGTAAGATTAAGATTATAAATATCCTCAGGTCAGGTCAGGTCAGATTTTGCCACCAAATGAGTTTTTGCACTAAGCTAATGAAAACCTTTCAGTTTTCAGAGCTTTTTGGATTTTGGAATTAATGACAGAGCCAAAACCAGATGTGAATTTAAAATGTAAAGATCACACTGCTTGTTCAATTTCAAAATGCACGCAAAAGCAAATTAAATTTTAAAAATATTTTTCAGGAAAGTATGTTTGAAGAATTCTGCATTACCATTGTGCACGTAGGTGAGCCTCCTCTCCTCTCTGGTTACGATGTTGGATACCCAAATATCACTGCTATGTATAAAAGCAATCCAGTCTGGATCAGCAGGGCATAATTTTGGGTCCATCCGTATGTTGGGACAACTAGTCTCCACTAAATTGGGTCGTAAGGGTTGTTGCTAGAAAAGTAAACAGCATTTTAAGACAGGGATTAAGCTGATGTATACACATCCATTTGCTAGCACTCTTCCTATAAGAACATTTCTAGGTAAATGCTAATTACGGTATCTCTTTCCCAGAAAAATATATACTTTCACATGCCTTAACTTATAAGAAAGGACTAATTTTCTTTCACTATGAATTAGAATGCTAAAGTTAATAGGAGAGGAAAGAAAGGCAGTAACACTTTACTGCCCAACTGTTTAATGGGGTAATTATTATTTATTAAACATTTATTAAATATTTGTTATATATTTAAAATTAACTTCACCAATTTAAAATAGTTTGCCCATAAAAACATAATAAAAGCCAGAATCATCACAACTCTATAAAAATAGTAGTTCTAATAGCACATAAGGAATGGCATGGAAAAAAACCAAACATTTAAAATCCACCTTAATTTATTAAGATAAATTAAAACTTTGAAGGGAAAAACGGATTGCCTTGTGATAACATTATCTTTCAAAATCCCCGTCAGCATTTACACAAAAAAATGGGAATTAATGTCCTTTACTGTCTTTTTTAATAGAAATTAAAAATTATTAATCCTTAAAATTAGAAATTAACATCCATATTTCTTGTTTTTATTACTACTAAATTTCTTAGTTGTTAGGTAAACAAATTTTTGATTTGCTTGTTAATTATTTTTCTGATTTGGGTGTAAAAAAACCTTTAGGATCCCCCCAAAAAAACCAAAGATTTAACACACAGTACAATCAAACTTAGAAGTCCCTGGGCGGCATAAATGGTTAAGCACTCGACTACCAGCTGGAAGGTTGGCAATTTGAACCCACCCAGAGGAACCTCAGAAGACAGGCCCGGCAATTTGCTTCCGAAAGTTCAGAGCCTTAAAAACCCTATGGAGCAGTGTTACTCTGCACACACGGGGTTGCACTCAGTCAGAATCAACTTGACAGCAACTAACTACAACCCACTCAAACTTACGGTAAATCCTTGCGGCCCTCCATCTTTTACATGATAAATTCCACTACCAGCTTGAAACAGAAATGTTCCACTTCCTTGGTGATAATCGTAAGAAGCAATTCCAACTGTTCCAATGCGTTTTCTTTCTCTTAATAGTTCTTCTTCTCGAGAGTACATCCCATAGTCCAGTGTTGCCTAATGCAAAAGAAAGAGCAGTCACCTAATGCAGGCTTCTGAAAGCTTGTGAGGTTAAAAAAGGAGACAACCATGGAATCCTGCTAAAAACCCACCTAGTTATATACACATTTTTCGTGTCACGTTTATTAATGTTTAATTACATACGTGCACATTTGTACATGGGTGTGTTAGGCTCCACTGGAAAGAAAAGCAAATTCTCTGAACAGACTTTCATAAATTTTTATTAATTCTGACCCTTTTGTTTGACTGTCTCTTAAGACTGTTTCCGTTGAAGCCAAATGCAATTCTGAGTATGTGATTATGTTTGACTATCTCCCCTCTTTATTCTCCCTAACAGTCACCAGGCTCGATCTGTATCTAATATGCCTTAGTGCTTTATAATCAGAACACAAGACATTTCAGAGCTAAGAAATTAACCTTCACAAGAGGACTCTGTATTCATAACTCTGTGATTACAAAATTTATTATTTGAAAGAATAAACACGCAAGATGGTACAATAGAACCCTGAAAAAGATCAACTGCAAGGAATAAGGCTAGTGTTACCAGATACTAAAAAATTAAAATTTTTATAATAAAATAACATAGTTTTGGCACGTGAATAAACAGAAAGACCAACAGAACAGAATAGCAGATCCAAAATAGAAAACTGAATATAGAAATTAGTAAGGTAAGGGTGGTGGGGAAAAGATGGGATTTCCTGAGTTAAGGAGATATAGCTGAGCATACAGAGAGACCAAGACAGATAGGGTGTGCAGAATAAAGTAACGACGAGGAGAGAACTGCACCAAGAGCAGGGGTCTCTCTCAAGTATGCAGCATGATCAGTGTGTGTATGAGGAAACCACCAGAGGACAGGGAAGGGGCCACCCTAAAAGACCTGAAGAACAAGTACCTGGTTTTCACACAGGGCTGGATGGTAGTGCCTGTTTCCACCAGCCAGACTGGGAAACCTTATAATTCATGGGAATCTGGATAGAGAAAGACTCTTACTTCAGTAGGAAGGAATATTGGACCTAGCTTAAACGTGACTCTAGCCCTGCTTAACAAATCTTAAAAACAGGATCCAAAAGAAACAAACTGTTTTTGAGTAACTTGGTTGTGTCCCAGAACAAACCTCAAGAATATCTACAGGAATACAACAAACCCAACAAGATAAAATTGATAATGCATAGAATCTATGAAAAAATTACTATGTAGGCAAAGAAGCAGGGAAATATAACTCAAAACAAAAAGGGAGGAAAAAAACCAACCCCGAACCGACACAGATGATGAAATTAGAAGATAAGAATACTAAAATAGTTACTACAACTGTGTTCCCCATGTTCAAAAAGTTGACATGAAAGACATAAAAAAAAAAAAACCTAAATCAAAAACAGAGACTACAACTATAATGTCTCAGATGACAAATACAATAGATGAGATTAACAGCAAACTAGACATTGCAGAAGAAAAGATCAGTGAGTTTAAAGACATAGCAAAAGAAAATATCCAAAATGAAACAGGGGAAAAAAATTTCAAAAAGTGAACAGAGCATCATCAGTGAGCTGTGACACAACTTTGAATGGCTTAATGTATAAATAACTGGAGACCCTGATTGAAAAGGAGGGGAGGGAGGACAGAAAACGTTTTTAAAGACATAATAAACTCAAACATGAAGTACATGAAGAAAAATACAAGGCACATCATAAAAATTCAAAAACAATGAAAAAGAGAACATCTTAAAAGCAGCCAGAGGAAAAAGATAAGTTACATACAGAGGAACAAAGAGAAGACAGCAGATTTTAGAATGGGAGCAAGAAGACAGTGAAGCAAAATCTTTCAAGTACTAAAAGCAAAAACTGAGAATTCTATAGCCAGCAAAAATATCTTTCAAAACCGAAAGTGAAATAAAAACTCCTTTAGAAATATAACAGCTGAAAGAATTAAATCACCCTACAAGAAA